GGACCAGCAGGTGGCATGCTGATTAGGATACTGGACTCCCACATGGCTGACCACAGTGCGAGTCCCAGACCTGGCGGCTTGCCTCTTCACTTTCCTTCTCTCTCTCTCTCTTTCTCACTCTGTCCCTCCCTGGTCAAGTTTAAATAAATAAGTAAATGTTAAATAAAATAATTATTTTTAAAAAATTGGTCTGGCAGGTGGCAAGGTGGTTAAGGGTGGTGGACTCTCACATAGCCAGCCACAGTTCAAGCCCCAAACCTGGAGGCTTGCTTTCTCACTTTCCCTCTCACTCACTCTGTCCCTCTCTGGTCAAATTAAAGTAAAGAAATAATAAAGAAATAAAGAAAGTTAAATAAAATAATTCTTTTTTAAAAAAATTCGAACCCTCCAATTTATTCTTCAGAGGAAGTCACAATTAGTGGTCTGGCATGTATCCTTCTGAGCATTTCCATTCTCATCTGTAACCCTCTCTGTCCTACACCAAAGTTTCTTTCCACCTACTATTTAAGCTGCCATGTCTCAGTTTTCCTGCTTCTGAAAAGCCACTGAAACTCTTCAGCCTTTAGGATTTGTACATATTTTACATATTATTTTGGAATACCTTTAGCAGTGTCTCAAAAGGGATTTGAAATATTATGTTTGCCATATATTAAAATCTTAGTAACTGCCTCCCTGGTTCCATTTTTCTGTTTGTCTATTCTTTTATTGAAATCATTCTTTATTTTATTCCTCATTTCTATCTTTTAAATTTTCTTAGGGGGGCCAGCAAGTGGTGTGGTGGCTAGGAGTACCCACATGGCTGACCGCAATTCGAGTCCCAGACCTGGCAACTTTTTATCTCACCTTTCTCCCTCTGGTGAGCACATGTGCCCTATAACAAATTTCAAAATCATAATAACCGAAAGTAAATAAATAGTTCTTTGATAGAAAAGAAAAGTTTCTAGCTGGTGGTATGGTGGTTAAGGTGGCTGGATCCCACATGGCTGGCTGGCTGGTTTGAGTCCCAGACCCAGCAGCTTGAGAAACACACCAGACATGTGCATATATGCCCAAAATCCCAAAAGGAGAAAGAGATGGGGAAGAAGGAATTGCAGCGTGACCATTCCTCATGGTGGATGCTTTCTCATTTGCTTACTTTCTCTCCCTCTCTCTCCCTGTCTCCAGCTAGCTCAAGGGCCCTATGGCAAAATGTTTTTTAAGTTTCTTGACTCTTTTTGTATATGCTTCCAAATGAACTTCAGAGCCAGTTTTTCTTTTTTTTAAAAAGAGATTTTTGCTATAGGGCTCGTGTACTCGCCGGACAGACATACAAAGACAGAGAGACAGTAAATGAGAAATCACCCCCCGGGGAGATCACCATGCCACTATCCTTTCTCCTCCATTATCCTCTCAGGATCTTGGGCATGTATACACACTTGCCCAGTGTGAGTTTTAAGCCACTGGGTCAAGAACTCAAACCATGGTCAACTATGTGGGAGACCAGTGATGTAGCCATTATGCCATCTGCTGGTCCCCAGAGCCAGTTTTTCTTTTTCTTTTTTTTTTTTGGAGAGATTTTTTTGCTATAGGGCGTGTGCGTTTGCCAGAAAGACAGAGACAGAGAGCGAGAAATCATCCCCCAGGAGGGATAGCCACGTCACAATCCCTTCTCCTCCATTCTCCTCTATGGATCTTGGGCATGCACGCACACGTGCCCGGTGTGAGTTTAAGCCACCAGGTCCGGGCCTTGAACCCCAATCGACTACGTGAGAGTCCAGCGACATAACCATTATGCTAAATGCTGGTCCCCAGAGCCAGTTTTTCTAATACTCCCTTCCTAACTCCCAAAATCCTAATGCAATTTTATTGGAATTTATAATTATTTGATAATTTTTAGTTATGAAACTTCTTATTTAGGAATATAGTACTTCTGTCCATTTATTAGATCTTCATTCTTTTTAAAAATTATTATTGGTCCAGCAGTTGGCATAATGGCTATGTTGCTGGACTCCCATGTAGTCGACTATGGTTCGAGTCCCGGACCCAGTGAAAAAAAAAAAAAAAAAAAAAATGAGATTGGATAATGAAAAAAACTCAATTAAAAAAAAAAAGAAAAGAGAGGAGACCAGCAGGTGGCGTGGTGGTTAAGGCGCTGGACACTCCCACATGGCTGACTGCGGTTCAAGTCCCGTATCTGGCAGCTTGCTTTCCCACTTTCCCTCTGCTCTCTCTCTCTCTCTGTCTGTCTCTGGTCAAATTAAAATAAATGAATGAATAAATAAAAATTGAATAAATAATTATTTAAAACAAAAGAAAAGAAAAGAGGGACCAGTAGTTAGCATGATAGCTATGTTGCTGGACTCCCATGTAGTGTACCGCAGTTCAAGTCCCAGACCTGGTGGCTTAAACTCACGCCAGGTGCGTGTGCGTGCGTGCCCAAGATCCCGAGAGGAGAATGGAGGAGAAGGGATTGTGGCATGGCCATCCCCCCAGGGGGTGATTTTTCGCTTTCTGTCTCTATGTCTCTCTCTGTCTTTCTGGCGAGCATATGCACCCTATACCGAAAACCTCTCCCCACAAAAAGAAAATTTGCCACAGATGCTTCCTAGAGGGAAAAGAGAGAAAGTGAGAAAGCATCCCCTCCAAGAAAGTGATCACACCCCTTCTCCATCTCTCCCTCCTTTCAAGATTTTGTCCACACAGATGCCTTCAGTGTGTTTTTCAAGCCACTGGGTCCAGTGCTTAAACTGTAGTCAGCCATGTAAGATCCAGCCATCTTAATTAACTACCATTCTACATAGCTGGCCCAATTATGTTAATTTTTTTCCTGTCCTACTAGAGATATATTGTTATTACCATCCTTAGTTTTGCTATGTGGCGTGTGCACTTGATGGAAAAGAGAAAAGAGAGAAAGTGAGAAATCACGCCCAGGGGGATGGCCACGCCACATTCCCCTTTCCATTCTTAGGATTTTGGACACGCATGCACATGTGCCTGGTATAATTATTTTTTTTTTTTTGAGAGATTTTTACTATAGGGCGCGTGCGCTCGCCAGACAGACAGAGAGAGACATAGAGACAGAAAGCAAGAAATCACCCCCCAGGGGGGATGGTCACGCCGCAATCCCTTCTCCTCCATTCTCCTCTCGGGATCTTGGGCACGCACGCACACGCGCCCAGCTTGAGTTTTAAGCCACCAGGTCCGGGACGCGAACCGCGGTCGACTACGTGAGAGTCCAGCGACATAGCCATTACGCTAACTGCTGGTTCCCCCTGGTATAATTATTAAGCTACCACATCCAGAACTTGAACCTCAAAATCAGCCATGTGGGATCCAACTGCCTTAACTACCATGCCACTGGTTGGCCCCGAGATATTTGTATTTGTGTTGTGTGTGTGTGTGTGTGTGTGTGTGTGTGTGTGTTTGTAGCATGCTATATGCAGTGTTCTAAACTCTGGTTTTTTTGTTAAGTCTTGTCAACAATCATTTCTTTGTAGGTAATCTGTTTTTCTTTGGCTTTTTATCCTGTTACTTTTTTTTTTTTTGAGAGGTTTTTGCTATAGGGCGCGTGCGCTCGCCAGACAGAGAGAGACATAGAGACAGAAAGCTAGAAATCACCCCCCAGGGGGGATGGTCATGCCGCAATCCCTTCTCCATTCTCCTCTCGGGATCTTGGGCACACACACACACACACGTGCCCGGTGTGAGTTCTAAACCGCCAGGCCCGGGACATGAACCACGGTCGACTACGTGGGAGTCCAGCCATTACGCTAACTGCTCATTCCCCCATTACTTTCTATTATGGAAAATTTTGAACATAAAAGTAAGAGAATAGTGTAGTAAATTCTCTTGTTACTTGTCACCTAGCTTCAGTGGTTATTAACTCATGGCCAGTCTTACTCATTCATGTTATCTGTTTTCTGTTCCCTGACTTCTAATTAGATATCACTTAAAGCATGGAACTTTTAAATCTTAGGTTGTAGGCCACCAAGGATCAGATGACCTCAGAACAAAGGTCTGTTCCAGTATTTATCCCAGGGGAATTGTTCTTCATTGTTTCTTCTATTTTCTTTCTTTTTTTTTTTTTTGGAGAGGTTTTTGCTATAGGACACGTGTGCTCACCAGAAAGACAGAGAGACAGAGAGAGACAGAGAGACAGAAAGTGAGAATTCACCCCCCCAGGGACGATGGCCATGCTGCAATGCCTTTTCCTCCATTCTCCTCCCAGGATCTTGGGTATGCATGCACACAAGCCTGGCATGAGTTTAAGCCACCGGGTCCGGGACTCGAACCGTGGTTGACTACATGGGAGTCCAGCTACATAGCCATTATGCTAACTGCTGTTCCCTGTTTCCTCTGTTTTCTATACTTCACTGCCAGTGCACCATGTATGTGTATAGGTTCATATTTATTGATATATGCAATATGATAGAATTTATAGGGAATATGTTCCAAGACCCCAAGTTGATGTCTGAAATCTTGGTTAGTACTGAACCCTAAAGACACTGTTTTTGTTTGTTTGTTTGTTTGTTTGTTTGTTTTTAATCTGATAACTGATATGGCTTCTAAGTCAGCAGTCCTCAACCTTTTTGGCACCAGGGACCGGTTTTCTGGAAGACGACTTTTCCATGGACCAAGGCAGGGGGAATGGTTTCAGGATGATTCAAGCACATTGAGTTTATTGTGCATTTTATTTCTATTTTTATTACATTAATATACAATGGAATAATTGTATGATTCACCATAATGCAGAATCAGTGGGATTCCTGAGCTTGTTTTCCTGCAACTCGGCAGTCCCATGTGGGAGCTCCTATGAGAATTTAATGCTGCCTCTGATCTGACGGGAGGCACGGCTCAGGTGGCGATGTGAGCAATGAGGAGCAGCTGAAAATACAGATGAAGCTTTGCTTGCTTGCCTACTGCTCACCTCAGTCCACGGACTGGTAGCAACCCAGTCCATGGCCTGGGTGTTGGGGACACCTGTACTAAGTGGCTAATGGGCAGGTAGAGTATATAGCATGGCTACACTGGACCAAAGGAAGATTCATGTCCCAAGTAGGATGGCAAAATGTTTCATCATGCTACCCAGAATGGTGTGCAACTTATATCTTAACAATTATTTATTTTTGGAACTTTTCATTTACTATTTTCAAACTAGGGTTCACCATGGGTAATGAAAACTGGAGAAAGCAAAGCCGTGGATGAGAAGGAATTGCTGCATATACACATTTAGAAATATATCCTGAAATTCATTCCGTATCACCGTATGGTATACCTCATTCCTCTTCATTTATCATTTCTGTTTAATTGCCGGAATGTGCACGTCTTCAGCAAATACAGAGAGAGGGAGAAAGCATCCCCATAGTGGGATGTGGTCACACTACAACCCCTTCTCCATTTCTCCATTCTGTTGGGATTGAGGTACTCACATACATGTCTTGAGCATGTTTTTCAACCTGCTGGGGCCAAAATTTGAATCATGGTCAGCCTAGGGCATGGGGCCAGCCTTTCTTTTCATTTATTTAGATAAAACTTAACATATGGTAAAATGTACAAATCTTTTTAAAAATTATTTTACTTTATTTATTTATTTAAATTTGACCAGAGAGGGACAGAGCAAGTGAGAGAGAGAGAAAGTGAGACAGCAAGCCGCCAGGTCCGCAACTTGAACTGCAGTCGGCCGCATATTGCACTACTCAAGAGAAGCTGGATCCCACATGGCAAGCATCCTTTGACTCCTTGGCCCAGTCAGCCTGAAACATACCAGGCATGTGCACAAGTGCTGAGATTCTACGGGTTGAAGGACTGAAGGAAGAGTGTCCTCATGTGGCCAGACCCTGTGGAGAGTGCTTATTTCTCTCTCTGTCTCGCTCAGGTGTGTGTGCACACCGTCATCAATAAAGAAGAAAAGGAAGGCTGGTTCCATGCGCTCCCTCTTAGGCATTAACCATTCCCAAGATTAATCATATTCTGGCATCTATAATCTTTTAAGAATAATTTTGGGGACCAGTAGATGGTATAATGGTTAATATCGCTGGACTCCCATGTAATCAACCATGGTTCGAATCCCAGACCTGGTGGCTTAATCTCACGCCGGGCGCCTGTGTGTGTGCATGCCCAAGATCCCGAGAGGAGAAGGGAGGTCCAGGACTCGAACCGTGGTCAGCCATGTGGGAGTCCAGCATCCTTAACCACCATGCCACCTGCTGGCCCCTACCTATATTTGAAATTTATATAAGTATAATCATACATAGCATGTGCTCTTCAACACTGAATATGAACTTGATTTATATTGTTGAATATATCAGTAGTATTTTCTTTTACATTACTGTCTAGAATTCTATCCTTTATTTTTTTTTTTTGAGAGCTTTTTGCTATAGGGCGTGTGCGCTCACCAGACAGACAAAAAGAGACAGAGAGACAGAAAGCAAGAAATCACCCTCCAGGGGGTGATGGCCACGCCGCAGTCCCTTCTCCTCCATCCTCCTCCCGGGATCTTGGGCACACACGCACACACGCCTGGCGTGAGTTTTAAGCCACCGCAGGACGCAAACCGCAGTCAACTACATGGGAGTCCAACCACATAGCCATTACACTAACTGCTGGTCCTTATCCTATTTTTTTTAGGCTTTTGCCGTAAAGATGAGTGCGCTTGCCAGAGAGAGAAGGAGGAAAAGTGAGAAGTCACCCTTCACACTGCAGTCTCTTCTCCATTCTTCTCCTAGGATTTTGGGCCCAAATGCACATGTACCCAATGTGATTTTTTTTTTTTTGGAGAGAATTTTGCTATAGAGCATGTGCACTCACCAGAAAGACAGAGATACGGAAGCAAGAAATCACCCCGCAGGGGGGATGGCCATGCCACAATCCATTCTCCTCCATTCTCCTCTAGGGATTTTGGGTACGTACACATACGTGCCTGATATGAGTTTAAGCCACCTGGTCAACTACATGGGAGTCCAGAGACATAACCATTATGTCAGCTGATGGTCCCCCCAATGTGATTTTCAAGCAGCCAGATCAAGGACTCGAACTGCAGTCAGCCATATGGGAGTCCATCAACTTAACCACCATGCCACCTGCTGGTCTGCCCTATTCTTAAAATTAACTTCCAATTTGGGCCAGCAAGAATGCTAGTGATTTCTTCTAAATAGGATATAAAACTTGTTTTAAATTACTCATCCTTGGTCCTGCCTGCCAAGAACTCAAATGTCATATAGCAGCCCTCCTAGATATGTTGGCAGGTAGGTATGAGATCTCTGAATAGGTGACATAGATATAATATGGCAGCTGGTAATGGTGGATGAATTTACACTTCTATGGCCAGGGCTTCTTTTTAAAAGCAAAAAGAAAAGCAAGTAGTGTCTTCCTACATATTTCCAAATACGCGTGCAGAAGGAAGGATGTTTGTGCTTCAGCTTTGTTTTTGCTCACTAATACAGTCAAGCAAGAGTTTGTTTCCAAGTGACCTATTGAGCGATGTAAGCATTTTTGTTTATTTCAAATAAAATACAGTATTTGTCATACTATCCATTTATACTACACTCTGTATCAGGTAACCAATAGAAATATACCTATTTTGTTTTGTTCTTAAAATTAATAAAAACAAAAAGACAGTCTCCTGGAACCAGCAGTTAGCGTAATGGCTATGTCACTGGACTCCCATGTGGCCGACCGCGTTGTGAGTCCTGGACTCGGTGGCTCAAACTCACACCGGGCGCATGTGTGTGCATGCCCAAGATTCTGAGAAAAGAATGGAGGAGAAGGGATTGTGGCATGGCCATCCCCCTTGGGGGTGATTTCTCACTTTCTATCTCTCTGTCTCTCTCTGGCAAGTGCACACGCCCTATAGCAAAAAACTTCTCAGAAAAAAAGGTCTCCTTGAACATAGCCCTATAGCAAAAAACTTCTCAGAAAAAAAAGTCTCCTTGAACCTGCATATTTGTGTACATGTGTCAATATAGCTGTAGGATAAATTACTAGAAGTATATGGGGCAGGCAGGCAGCATGGTGGTTAAGGTGCTGGACACCCACATGGCCAACCATATAACAGGGGCCAGCAGGTGCCACAGTGGTTAAGGGCACTAGACTCCCACATGGCTGTCCACGGTTCACGTCCTGGACCTGGCGGCTTACTTTCTCACTTTCCCTCTCTCTCTCTCTCTCACTCTGTCCCTCTCTGGTCAAATTAAAATAAATAAAGTTAAATGAAATAATTTAAAAAAAAATAACAAATGCAATTAAATACATACATTATTATTTTGAAAAAAATTACTAGCTGTGTAGTTGCTGGATTAAAGTATATGGTGGTCTGGGCCAGCGGATAGCATGGTAGCTAAGATGCTGGATCCCACATGGCCCACTCCACAGTTTGAGTCCCGGACCCAGCAGTTTGAGAATCATGCAGGGGCACGTGTGCACATGTGCTCAAAATCATGAGAGGAGGATGAAGGAGAAGGGATTGTGGCGTGTCTATCCCCACTGGGGGGTGATTTCTCACTTTCCTTCCCTGTATGTCTCTATCTGGCGATCACATATACCCTATGTCAATAAATAGATAGTATGCGGTGGTCAGTGTGATTTCCTACCCAACATTCATTCTGTATCTTCACTATTTCACACTCGGTTTCTAGAGAAGTGCACCAAGGGTATAACCTGTTCAGGGTAAGTCCGTCTACTGTGTTCCAGCCATTGGTACAGGCAGCCCAGGTTTAGCCAATCAATGCATTGTCCTGGTCAAGGGGATTGTTCAGGAATGGACTAGTGATCCGATTTGAGTGAGTGAAATGTTACAGGTTATTTACTGCAAGACTTGGAGGAAGAGGTATTTTGTGAGTTTGTTTTTGTTCTCCTGAAAGAGATACTAACTTTGTCTCATTTTTTGGACAGTGTGATGTGGCTGATGTGAAGCCCTCAAGTGCTGCAGCTGTTTTACTACCAAGAACGTCAAATTTAGGATGAAGCTCATACTTTGGAAGGTCAGACTAACAGACGGAAGGAAATCTGGTCCTTGATACTGTCTACAGAATCAAACCAACTGCAAACTCTGCTCATCTCTTAAATTCACAATTGTGTGAGCCAATAAATCCTTTTTATTGTTTAAGCCTATTGGAGTTCGATTTTCTATAAATCAATCAACCAGGGAACCAGTAGTGGCGCGGTGGTTAAGGCACTGGACACTCCCGCATGGCCAACCATGTTTGCTTTCTCTCTCTCTTGTCAAATTCAAATACATGAATGAATAAATAAAATTAAATAATTTTTTAAATACATAAATAAATCAACCAATCAGTCAATGGGTATTAATACCTTTAATTTGTGGATAAGTTCTCCAAAATCTATCCCAACTGTTTAAACCTATTGGAGTTGGGTTTTCAAGAAAAAGAAAAAAAAGGGGACCAGCAGTTAGCGTAATGGCTATGTAGCTGGACTCCCACGTAGTTGACCGCGGTTCGAGTCCCGGACCCTGTGGCTTAAACTCACACCGGGCGCATGGGCATGCGTGCCCAAGATCCGGAGAGGAGAATGGAGGAGAAGGGATTGTGGCGTGGCCATACCCCCTGGGGGGTGATTTCTCATTTTCTGTCTCTCTGTCTCTCTCTGTCTTTCTGGCGAGCGTACACGCCCTATAGCAAAAACCTCTTAAAAAAAAAAAAAGATCATATTGTCAGGTAAGATCATATCATCTATAAACAGATAATTTTGCTTCTTTTCCAGAACAGTTGACTTTCATTTCCTTTTCTTGTGTAATTGGTAGCTAGAACTTCTACTATTATGTTGCGTAGAAATGATAAAGGCAGATGTTCCTAATTTAGGGGGTAGAGTTTGTGCTCTTGTATATGTAAGCTGGATTTTTTCATATATGGCCTTTTTATTGTGTTAAGAAAGTTCCTTTCTATTTCTTTCTATTGAGCATTTTTTAAAAGAATTATTTTATCTTTATTTATTTATTTTAATTTGACCAGAGAGGGACAGAATGAGAGAGAGAGA